GAACCTAATTGGCTGTGTGGAGAAAAGATGCTGATAGGGGGGGGGAGAAAGAGAGAGAATGCTGCTAACGTCACGATTTGGAAAACAAAGAGGAGTGCCGGGGGAGAGCAGGGAGAGCAGATGAAATTCTGTACACAGAAGGGGGGAAGCAAAAAACCAAAACGACGTAAAACAACAGAATATCGGTGGGACGGGGGCGGGAATAAGTGGGTGGAGAGACAAAGGGAGCGAGGGAAGGCGAACCAGCAAGCAAGCCGCGTTAGACGAGGACGAATTCCGACGTGTAAACATTTTCCTCGTCCTCAGTGGCCTCCACCGGACCCGTAGTAAGACCAGTTGGTATGGCTCTCTGAGCCCTACAGAAGAAAACAAAAACAATATCTATCATGAGAATGCTCCGAAATTTAGAAAACATCGCTTAACATCCTCAGAAATACTGCTTCAATAGATCGTCGAAAAGATTGCCTGTTTATTCTGCTCGTGTATCCGCTAAAAAGTAGTCATCACTCAGAGTGGAACACTACCGAAATTACAGGCACATTATACAGCGGACGAAATTACTTACTGCAAAGTTATTTGGGTAATTCTCATCATTATAGCACACGTAAGTACTTCGCTTATTTCTTTTCTATGATTTTTTTGCTAAGGTGACAGCAGTCTAGTATGATATTACCTACTTTAATGATATATTCGGATTGGGTTGGGGAAAGATAGTTAGTTGGCAACGGGGCCACAAAGCAAACAAAAATACTCGGCAAACTACGGCTTACCGTCCTGAGGGAGCTACTGCGTAGGATGAACTTGTAAGCTGTTGCAAGTCATCTGGGGAAGTATCTCGTCGAGAAGCCGAACCGTATCCGGTTGATGTGGAATCTAAAAGTCGCGGATTACCCCTCGCCTCTGCCAGCTGTCGTGGATTAACTGCAAAAAAGGGAAGAGGGGTAATGAAAATGGACGGCTATAGAGCTTAGGACACCACCTCTTAGTGGAATATCAAAATTAACATCAACGGTGTCTACTAACTAATGTTTCAGTAGCTGTTTTTTAAATACACAATAAACACCTTTGAGGGGTTGTGTCCGGTGAAAGGCACGGGGTTGTGTGGCAGCCGAGCCGGAGGGCTGACGTGCGATGGGGCCTCGTGACTGGTAG